TAATAAATAAACATTCCTTTATTTCCGAGCGCTTTTCATTACAAAAACTGCTTTACACAGCAAATCAAATCAAATTATACCAACGTAACGTATACAATAATTATTATCAAAAAAGTATGATAAATTAAAATATACAGTATACAATTAATTTATGTTTTAGCGAATTTCCCCTATAGGGAATAAGCAATTACCGTAGTACTCATGGTAAGACCTGAACCCGGGACCGATTTACTTTTTCGTTTTGAGGTCCCTAGAGACCAAAAGCACCATCCGTTCAAATTAATATATATATATATATATTTATTTATTTATTTATTTATATATGTGTCCGTTAGCGCGATAACTCGAGCAAAAATCATCCGATTTTGATGAAATTTGGTACAAACGTGTAAACCTACGTTTATTCAAACGAGTTCGCGAACCAGCATGATCGGACTATGGGAACAGGGGCTTATGGGGGGTTTTCCGGCAAAAATTGGTTTTCCCATTTTTTACCCTAAAAACTTAAAATTTAGCATTTTCTTTCCAGACCATTTTGTAGAGTTATAGTTTGCTTGTTTATGATCATATTTTGATCAAATTTGGAAAATGCATTCATTTCATACTAAACTATTAACATTTTACAAAAAAAAAAACACCTTTCTACCCTCCCTGTTACAGCAAACCTAAGTACTCGTTAAACTAATGTTATTTAAATAGGGAATAAATGTGATATTTTTAAGGAGACATTTAAGTGTAAATCCAATCAGGCTAATGGAAATTCGCTTAGTCTGCAGGTTTGCTGTGGTGGGGGTATTTTATTTTAAGCTAGGACCTCTAGCTATTTTCGGGTTGGGGGTCATTGTAGAACTTTGGGGTAAAGTAGGAAAACCTTTTCCACTATCAAGCCGCATTTTTTGAAAAAAGAAGCAAGTAGTTTTTCCTGGTCTCGGGCTGAGTCACCTCCCCACGTGCCACAAGCCTTTCCACCGAGTACTTAGGCTCTTGCTGAACGAAGGGGTGGTGATGGGGCTGCAAGTCTCTGTGCACACTAACGTATTATAAAGGTTCTACGCAGTAGGTTAAAGTAACATCAATGTACATAATGTATACTCTATTTACTTTATTATTAAATTACAGATATTCTTATTATTCTTATCACAGGAACCTACAAAGTAATTTTTTAAGTTTTAACTGAGAGTAAAATTAATCAAATTGGTTTTAAGCAGAACTAAGCCCGTAATGTTATATGATTTAAACTTTATAATGTAGGCCTAATTACTTTTGGTCTCTTTTAAAACATACTTGTCTTAGAGATCTGATTATTTTTAACATTTCATATGTTCAATAAGCTTGCATTTCACATCTCTCCTACATTTGTATGAGTCACAACATGTAACATTTGTATAGGGACAAATTATTCTTAATTGATAATTTTAACTTAGTTTAACGTTAATACGATAATCAATGTTTATGGACTGACTTTGGTATTAGCAGCTTGAAGGAAAAAAAGTATATTTATCGATATATCAGTGCATCACTGTCATAAAGCTATCATTGCAATACAGATCTCTTAAAGGTTTTCATCCTGTATGCTTTTGGCTATCATGATTTTAAAAGTAAACTTTAGGAAGAACAAAATACCAGAAGACTAAAGTCACGCACAGAGATTGAGGGCTATAATCATATACTAGCCGCACCCTGTAGTTACGACTAAGAATGTATGGGTTTTTAGTGGCTGCGGACTTCTATTATCCCTTGGCTGATAAAAGCCTTGCGTAAACTACTATCAGTGATTATACACCTAGTAAGTATTAACGAAAGGTATACAGGGTGTATAGAAAATTCCTGGAGATATTTTGTGTAACCTATTTGTTCCTGAGGTCTATTAATCCATGCAATCAAAAAAACATCGTGTAGGCCTAAACATGGAAATAATATACCTAGTTTTCTTTCTGTCAGTCTGTGTGTTTGTAAACATGCTATCTTTATGTTACAGAAATATATACATCATTTTTTACATGCTTCATGCAATGATTCACTTCAAACTTTGTATCTGTATGACGACTAATAGAAGCAATCTTCAATAAGATCAGATTTATATATTGGACTTTTTTTATTGGTTCACAATAAAAATTTTCAAACGTAAAACTCTTAAAACGAATAGTTAAAACAATTTACAATGTAGGTATATTTTAGCAAGTAGTATAACTAATCCAAGTATGCATATATGGTTAAAATTAATTCATTAAACTAAGATTCATTTTTGTGAGACCGTGAATCGCTCATATAACATTGTTCCAAATAACGTTAATGCAGTAAAAACAACTACTGTATGATAAAACTCAGCTATATTCGTTGAACTTAATAAAGGAGAGTGAGGTTTAAATGCATTAGGAAAGTGGAGAATGGAAAGAATAAATTCGAATATTTTTAAAAGGAGAAAAACAAATGTAAGCCCGGTATTTTGTTTCAATCATTGCTCAGTATTGTCATGATCGGTTTATCGGAACACCCCCCCCCCACCCCTCTAACAATATTGTGGGGTTGGCCTTACAAACCGTCTGAATAATTGTTTTATGCCCTTCATCCACCACCCTTTTACCGAATACCTAATTTACTTTCGTCGGTAACAAATTTTCATAATATTTCACACCACTTTGTCTTCCTCTCGATTGGTTTTTTCAAATAAATCTTATTTTTCCATTATTGTTACGGTTTGAACAATTATTGATTTTTTCAATGTTGTGAATTGATATGTGGTGCGTATAATTAAATATGTACGTTACTTGTAATCTAAGTGTTCTTATGTTATAGCAGTATAATTTTCTTCTATATTAACTTAAACAAAATTTACATCATACTACACAGAAACTGGTACTTTTCCATCCTTATTGATAGGCTAGAAAGCTGCTCTTTACCGTGCCTACACACGGAAAAGTAACGTTATGTACTTTTAACGTGCACTTAGAATATTAAAAAGAACGCACATGTATTTTTAATCGGATTGAAAACGACTCCTCTACTCAGAACTTAAACAACAAACTCTGAAATAAATTTACATATAAACCTTATTTTACTTATGAACGCATTTTATGGCGAGCAAAACCAGCAACATGTACAGTATGCTATATTTATAACAGAAGGAACAATTTTTATTCTATTACAAAAACCAATCGTGTACAACAATTAAAATCAGTAACCAGTCAAAATAAAAAGACGGCACATGACCAGTCAAAGGTGTTTTCTAATTTAAGTAAGTAAAGATAAAATAGCTTATAACCTTTTTTTTCTTAATAAGAAAGACTATTCCTGCACAACTGTAAAATAAGCACTAGAGCACTAAGCTCATCCTCAAATAGGTTTTAATATTACACCAAATACATTAAACAGAAATTTGTTTTCAATTCATAGTATTATTTTACTTACGTTTACCAATTTTTTTATTAGTAATAAGATTTTTCTGAAGCAAACTCAACACTTAGCAAAAACGTGGAAAGTAGTATAATACATAGTAACATAGTTAAACATAATAAGTATTATTTTAATTTAATTAGTTAAATACATTACAAAAGAGATCTTAGAGAAGATGAAACTACAAAAAAGATCCGCGGAAAGTATTCCGTATCAATCGGGGGATTGTTTATTCATGATCACTTCAGTAATGGAGATGCGAGAATACGCTGAGAAACAAAGTAGTCAAGGGATTCAGTTGTTTTTACCACTCTGCTGATGACAGAGAAATAAGGATTTGAAGCAAACTAGTAGAATACCAAGAAACACAACTAACGTCGAATGCGGAAATCAGTTCGATTCCTATACAGCCATCAGTACAGTCAGGTCCATTTCAACCAATAATGGACTTTTCCTACAGTTACCTAACAATGTACGTCTTCTCTCACTGATTTGAGAAAGCAAAGTGGCCGATTCGCTCATCAGTGAGACAATGTTAACATTGTCTCACTCTAATTACTTTGTCTCACTCCAGATTTGCAACGTGAAGGCACGAAATAGTGAGCACGTAACATGCAGGCAACGTCGTATGCGCGCGAAATACGTTGGCAGCACTGGTCAGCTGTTGTACTGTTGTATTTGTCACTTCACATTAAATGTTATATTAAAAGTTCACTTCTGTGTTGAAATAGGTTATGTTTCTTCACCAATTTATTTGTTTTATGGTAACTGTAGGAAAAGTATAATGTGCAACTCGAGTTCAAAGTACAATTGCCTCACTCGAGAAACCATTCTGAGTAAGGATTTCTCTCGAGTGAGTCAATTGCTCACTTTTCTCACTAGTTGCACAAATAACTATAGTTAATGCTCTGGATGATTGCATTGCTGGATCAAAAATTATTTTCTATCAAGTCGTAATAATAATACTGCGTCGTAGTGTCCTACTCTGTTTTCGTGGTTCAAGAATGCTATAGTACTAGGTGGCACAGAACTTGTTGTACCTCTCCCTTCATCCCAGGAAGTGTATATCTCCCTGGAAGCCTATATCTGACTCTGTGTTGTTCTAGGATGCTAGGATCCACGTAGACATGACTTGCCGGTCTGACATTGTTTTCGTAGTTCAAGAATGCTATAGTACTAGGTAACACAGAACTTGTTGTACCTCTCCCTCCATCTCAGGAAGAGTATATCTCTCTGGAAGCCTATAGTCTGACACTGTGTTGTTCTAGGATGCTAGGATCCACGTAGACATGACTTGCCGGTCTGACATTGTTTTCGTAGTTCAAGAATGCTATAGTACTAGGTAACACAGAACTTGTTGTACCTCTCCCTCCATCTCAGGGAGAGTATCTCTCTGGAAGCCTATAGTCTGGCACTGTGTGTGTTGTTCTAGGATGTTAGGATCCACGTAGACATGACTCGCCGGTCTGACATCGTTTTCGTGGTTCAAGAATGCTATAGTACTAGGTGGCACAGAACTTGTTGTACCTCTCCCTCAATCGCAGGGAGAAAATATATCCCCTAGAATATATGCCTAGAAGCCTATATCTGACTCTGTGTTGTTCCAGGATGCTAGGAGGCGTGGTGGCGCGGCACACCAGTCTGCGTCGGCGCAACAGCTCGCCGCCCCCGGCTCAGCTGCCATCCGGCGCCATGTACAGCCGTCGCCGCCGCGCCGTCACCACCTCCGACCACAAGTCATGCGCCCTCATACAGACCAGGATCAAGCTGGGGGACATCATGTGAGTAAACACTCAAATGTTTTCTTACGGCCTAAAGGTCCATTTCCTATCCTACGACTGTTCCGCGCGGCTGAAATAAATTACTGCTTTAATGCAAAGTAAATGCAACCGTTTCCTATCGAGCGTCTACAGCCGCGCGACTGAAGCGACTGGACTGCTCCGTGAGCAGTTCAGTCGCTTCAGTCGCGCGGCTGTAACGAATTTATAGTTTATACATACGAAGTTTGAGGTGTGTACCTTCATAGATGATTCAAAGTTAATGGAACTGGTTCGTCACCACCCATACGTTCACCCCCAATCCCAATACTTGAAGAAGATGTCTCTGAATAAGAATACTCTGAAACCGCTATTTTCACCGTACCATGAACAACGGATTAGGTTGTTCATTGTTTTTTACCATGCACATTAATAATTCCTTTTCCTCCCTTTATCCAAGTAATATATTCGCTGCCAACTGTGCTTATTCCATGACGGTCAGTAGTGCAATTTCACAAGTCACTAGTCGTGGGAGTCGTAGGAGTCGCGGCATAGGAATTGAGACAAGCGTCTCCAGCCGTACGGCTCTAGACGAACGGCTAGAGTCGTAACACTCGCAGGATAGGAAATGGACCTTTAAAAGGAAAATAACTTTGTAAAACATCAGAGGTTAACGTGATTCACACCAGCTACGTTATCAAACGAATCCTACTCTGTATGCTAGTTTCCGGGATCAAAGTTATCGTCAGTTAAAGATTGCTGCAAGGCATTTTGCTCTTACTTTCAAGAGGCATCTGAAGCAGCTAGGCTCATCAACTTAGCCTCTGAGGATGTTTATTCAAAGTGGGAGTGACAAGTCTGGCATCAATCCCTTGACGATGCTGTTGACTTCAGAATGTATTATAGTGACACCGGCCTTATAATACAGATTATCGAAATATGTTTAATATTGTGTTTTACACCGTATGCGATTCAAAATAGTGAAGACGAAGACACAAAGTGATGGAAGAACTCAAACTATTACTATACTCAGAAAATATTAGTTTAAGTAACTTATTGAGACACAATTTCCGGTAAAGCATCTGGTAAAATTTTAAGTGAGGAGAAAAAGGGGTCTTGTCTCAAAAAGCTGTTTTATATTGTAATATTAAATAGCTATCATAATTTATTTTGTTTGTTAAATTTTCATCTTTGTTTCAATAAAAGTACTATGGGTCAAAAAGATTATACATGTCACCTTCCATGAATTTCGGTGGTGCATCTTAAAACCATTAAATGTATTCATAGAAAGTATTTCGATATCTTACGATATCCTTGGAGGTCTGGTTAAACTACATCACATGTTTCGAGGCGACTGCCACATTTTCAGGTTTACCCTCTTCTATGGTTCGTCGAAACATAAAATCGTAAACAAAACAATCATTAACATAGATACATTTCATTATTTGATCCACATCTCTGTGTGTGCACGCGTTTGGTCGGGTAGACGGCGACATGAAGTTTAAACAGTCATCCTAGGATATTATAAGGCAACATATTATATTAATATATCAACATCCAGAAGTAGGACAATGAATTCTTCTTCTTGTGGTTTAGTAGTAAAAATCAATCAAATAGTACTTTAAATATGTGCCAACGGTTTGGATATAATCCTTTATAATCTCGATAGGTAATAAACCTATTCTGTGGTTACGCTGTCTGGAATGTTACTGTACAGGGAAGGTCTGCCTGGAATGCAATGCCATTGTGGGCTTTGATTAGTAGTTATCTCCCTAACGATTCACTACCACTGGTAATATTGGTTTATTGATTAAATTTACCTAATGTTATCTTTGCTAATAGTTTCTTTCCCTGCATAACTTTTAAATAAAGATTTGCGTATTGACATTGCAAAGTTTATTACGTCGATTAAATCAGAATAAAGTAAAAATGTTTATTCGATACATAAGAATTCGACAATAAACTATTTCTAATTTTCACATCTATCTACAAAAAATACACGTCGAGGATAAATGAAGCCCTACTCCTATGAATGGGTTTGAATGCATTGCTTTCAGCATATTTTTACTGATTCCAAATATTTTTCATAATACAATCAATGGGATGAAATTAATTATCGTACCACTAGGTTTGTCACACTGTTAATAAAGGGAATTGACTTGATCAGGGAAACGTGGTGGACTTTATGTTCCTGTGTTCAAACACTCGTTCGCGTATATCCGTATTCTGTATTTACTAGGTATTTCGTTATCCTGAACAGTTCTTCTTAAAAGACTTTTATTTTAATCTGGGGTAAAATATTCCAATGTATTACAATTTGTATTTCAATGAAGGATAATGAACCACTATTACTAAATAGTGTAATACAAAATTCGTTTTTATTACACAATATTAGTTTCATCACATGAAAATAGTTTACAAAATATTTTCAAGGTTGATTTGATAACTACAAATTTATAGTTTATAAACAGGCCATTTCTTAATTTACATTTTATTACACTATACTTATATTATATTACATTTATTGATCAAACATATAACTATTGCTGGCAATTAAGCACATTTATTTTGCACAATTCACCCAATAAAAAAAGGAAGCAAATATCGGAAGGATGGAACCTTTGATGGAACTCAATGTAATTTAAAGGATTAAAAACTGAATTTGTCATATACACAAAAAACAAGTAGTATTAGACGAATTAAACCTTCTTCCTTTGAATTTTTCAACTTTTCCCAACTACTTTCAACAAGTATGATTTACAAAACTAAAAATACATTCCAAAAAATAATAGCGATGAAATATGAGAATAATGAAATACAATTAATAAGATAAGCTGGTTTAATTTGTCACATTTATAAAACCGGAATTTGCACAAACTGCACGCGTCCGCCAGATGTAAAGCGAGATATTTTGACGTGTGCAGCATTAGTCTACGTCCGTATAACAATACAAACGGCCGTCGTATAACAATACAAACGGCCGTCGTATAACAATACAAACGGCCGTCGTGTCAGACGAGTTGTTCCATCATCGATTTTCTTTCTTTTCGTAGCGCTTGTGTTAATAAAGACCTTTTATCATAACATTTGCGCATGTTCAAGGAATCCAGGACTACACTGCTTTTGAATAAAAAAAAGAAAATGAACTAATAGCTGAAATAGAATATTAACAATTTGTTTTCCAACGTTATCTGATTTGATGAGAGGGGCTGGGAAACTTTGAAACGAAAATACAGTTTAGAAGAGTGGAAAGATAGCCAAAAGGCTGTGGACGAACGTTTGGCAAGTGGAAGCATTATGGTTTCATTTTTGAGAGTTTAAAATTTGTGGTTGTTGTTCGTTTGAACCTCAAGTTGCCGACAATTTCTATGGGAAATTGCTACTTACAACATGATTGTAAGGCCAAAAGAGAAATATACATGTTTTTTAACGCCTAAAGAGAAAAGGGAGAAAGAGAAAATAAATACTTTACTTAATTGACTCTGATATTTATATCCTTTTAGGGGAAGGTGGGGCAAGACGGGGTTTTTATGATTTATACCTTAGTGGGTATAAGCCTATTGTAAATAGTTGAAGTAGTAGATTGTTGCTATGCCTTTGTCTGATAATGCAACTTGCCAGTTTAAGCAAACTACACGATGTGTGGTACGGGTCATAGAGTGTTTTAACCAACCGTTATGTAATATTTGCTTGGTTTACGCAAGAAAATGCTTTTTCTTATACAACTTATTATTACGATTAAATTAAAATTTTTAAAGGAAGTAATTATTACAACATACAGCTTAATTGTTTATATTGTTTATACATTATAGACCTACTAACCTAACATAAAAATCGTCCACGGGGGCAAGATGGGGTACTTATTAGGGGGCAAGACGGGGAAGGTTTATTTGAAGTAGAAGATTAAATTTAGTTATGAAAGTTATTTTATTATTTTTATTTACTGCAGACATTTTATTTTAAGGAGAAGAATCTTTTAAGTTTGTTAGTATCTTTGTAGTTGTTTATACCTTACTTTGTAATGGTTCCCTTATCTTGTTGCAATAAAATTTTTTTTTATTTATCAATTGGGAATCTTTCCAAAAATTATTAAATGCTTAAGTACCTAATCTTGACCCACCTTCCCCTACTTACTTCAATAGTTACAGTTATTGTTTATCAAAAATACATTAATGGTAATTGGCAAGCGAAATTTGGCCTGATTTACAAATGTTAAAACGTATCGAAATTTCCTAAAATCAAAGGTAAACAAAGGTAAAAACGTTTTTGCGTCCATGGGTTTTCTTTAAGAGTGAAACATTGGTTTTGACAATGTTCTTCACAGTACATTATGGACGTGGTAGTGTTTAGGTTTACCGCTAGTCGCAGCACTAGCCAACAGATCCTGAATGTTACAGTAACCCCAAAATAGTGATACTGCTGATAATCTTAAAGTTTATAACTTCCAAACAATTAATGCAGTTATATACAGTTTGTGTAATAATTTTGTTAACTGCCAAATTAAAAACTATAAACTTTAAGATTTCCCCCCCCCAGGATTTACTCTTAAATTTACTATAATATTTCATAGCCAGGTATACTAATTCTTAGAATTAGAATTTTATGGAATAGTAGAATTAAGTTTAGTCTTAAATTGTTTATGTAGTCAATTACAGTGGAGTCCCGATAATCCGAACTTCGGTAATCCGAAAGTCCGCTTAATCCGAAACCAAAAAACAAATTTTTAAAATTTTTTTTTTAATTTTTTTTTTTTGAATTTTTTGAAAATTTTTTGATTTTTTTTTTAACTTTTGAAATTTTTTTGAAAATTTTTGAAATTATTTAGGAATTTTTTTAAAATTGTTGTTTATTAAACTTTTAACACAGTTAGCTGTACCTCGTCAAAGTATTCTGTAGCGGCCGGGCAAGATAGACTTTTTTGTTGAGTATTTTAGTAAATATTTCACAATTTTTGTTATTAACATTTTTTATTTTCGTCCAGGGTTCCAATCCCCCCAAATCACAAATGGATTTTATGAAGTGAT